CCCACTGCTCTCAAATAACTTATAAATTAAGGAAGAAATTATTAAAGATAAATATGTATTGGTAATATGTTTGGGAGATATTGGAGGGAGGAAGAGCAGATGCCTGGATTTGCTGGTAGTTGGGAAGTTTCTTGTAGGAACAAGCTTCTGAGCCACAGCTGGAAAATATCAGGGCAGAGACAGCAGTGTTCATTCTGATCCTGAAGGCAGTGGGGAGAGGAGGAGGACTGGATTGTGCAAATGGACTTGCTTTTGGACCGGTAAGGGAGAACCAACCAGCAGAGGGATGTGAGTGCCTTGGGTTAAAAAAAAATGGTGGGAGAATATATTTAAAGAAAAGATGGTAAGTATAGGAGAGACCAAGTTAAAGATGGAGGCAGAGAAATGTACATTTGCTGGAACCCTTGGAATACAGAAAGGCTAAGGGATGGAAAACGAATAGGGCAATAAGAGAATTCAAGATTCCAGATTGGAAGACTAACACAAAAGTAACGGAAATTCCTAGTTCTGGAATTAGACCTTAACGTGACTTTACAACTAGTTACACTCTTTAAAAGTAACAGTCAGTCAAAACAATTTATTGATAAATAGCAAATACATTTAGCTTAGTTATTGTTATTGAATATTAGCTTCTATTGTTAAAGAGTTATATCTATTGTAAAAAATGGAAGTCATATTTACTTGGATGTCAACCTGCTAAAGTATTTGATTAAGAAATTTTGCTTTTTGAGTAAGCATATTTTTTCTAAGCAGGGAAGCTCTCTATTTATAAACATTATTTATGTTTAGCCAAAATTACAGCACAAATGCTGCTGTCTTACCTTCAATATCCTGAGTGTCAATTTTCAGATGAAAGCTGCAAACTTCTTCAGAGGTACTAGTTTTGTGAACTACAGTTGTTACCTACATTGGGGACAAGTAAGCAAAAAGTTTCTATTTAAAGTGGGAAAGTGAAGAAGGTATTATGGCAGCACCGCTGCTGCAAATGGGATGCTGGAAGGGTCATTTTCATAATCCAGCACAAATGGTGTACATTAGTGACTCATTTTTGCAGCAGCTGGACTTTAAGCAAACTCCATAATCTAAACCTGAGAGGCCCAAAGTAAGCAAAATAGAAATTCTGGCCGGTTAGAATCTTGGTCTAAATTCCATGCAGTCAAATCTGGGCACCTTAATCTACAGGAGAGTTTCCAAGGTTCTTGTTTTTGAACCTTTCCACTTCAATTTTACACACAACGCCACAAGTCTAGGAAGTGTGGGTTTCTTCCAACCACACACCATCATGGCAGACAATAAATGACAGGTGTGTATGAATGGGCAGATGTTCTGCCAGAAGTAAATGTACTGACAGCAACCAGAAATGACAGGAAAGTGGACAATCTCTCCTCCCCCATATAAACTCACAACAGTCTTGAAGGAATGAATGTACCAAAGATTAGATCATGATTAAAATTATCAATAGAATGTTAATTTATGCTCAGAACATGCAATTGAAGCATGCATAAACATACTTAAACAGCCTAGAAAAATTTGCACTTGCCAGCTGGGCATGGTGGATCACGCCTGTAATCCCGGCACATTGACAGTTCAAGGCAGAAAGATCACTTAAGGTCGGGAGTTTGAAACCAGTCTAGTCAACACGATGAAACTCCATCTCTACTAAAAACACAAAAATTAGCCGGGTAAGGTGGCATGTGCCTGTAATCCCAGCTACTGGGGAGGCAGGAGAATTGCTTGAACCTGGGAGGCAGAGGTTGCAGTGAGGTGAGATTGCACCACTGTACTCTCTAGCCTGGGCAACAGAGCGAGACTCCGTCTCAAAAAGAAAAAAAGTTGCAACTGCCAAGTGCCTAAAATGAAGACACAAGCCTTTATGAATAATAAATCTCCCAAAATGCTGAATAAATGAGATGGTACAGAAAACACAATGTACATATGTACATATATATGTATATATGCATATGCTATATGCATATATGCTCTCTCAGAGCTCTTCTGAGAGTAACTGGATGAGACACTGAAAATCCTATGCCCGTAGAAGGTGCTAAACAATGCTGGCATTTCTCCTTTCCCTTTTACGTGTAAATAAAATGTCTTGCGATCTCCTGAGTAAACCATATGCATATGCCATATGCATATATACATATATAATCATAAAATTGTATACCTCCATAAATATATATATATAATTTCTATAAGTATGCAGAATGTATACATATAAAGATTAACGTTATTTTCAAAAAAATTGTGAGAATAGTTACAAAGATTGCTAGTAGGATTTACATCAGTGAATCTCACTTTAGTCGTGGTTACTGTGACTTTGTGGCAAAGCCCCTATCTTTTATGTTACCTAGTACAAATAGACACATAACTCGTTATTGGCCATCAATTAAATACTTACATGTACTGTAGCCAAGCCACTGCCAAATCCTGTACTGACAACGAGGTCATCATCGAGAAGCACCTGGAAAGATGGATAGAGAAACCATGCTTTCTTCCATCATTTGATAGGGAGGGAGGATAGAGCTATCTATGAAGAGTGGGCTGACACCTACCAGCCTCCTCTCTCAGAGCTCTTCTGAGAGTAACTGGATGAGACACTGAAAATCCTATGCCCACAGCAGCGCTAAACAATGCTGGCATTTCCCCTTTCCCTTCTACATGTAAATAAGATGTCTGAGATCTCCTGAGTGAACCAACAAAAGCAACATGTCAGAGGTCACTTCAGGTTACATTTTCATTTACATATGGCCATGTCAAACTTGGATATTCATCTCCTTTTGCCAACTGAATGAATTCCTTTCTGTGCCTAGCTCAGGAATCAGCATCCTGTGTGCCAATGGAGATTGTTTTCATTAGAACCCAGAGCAGGGAACCTCCACCTAACTTGAAATGGATGCATCTCTGAGCTTCTCCTTTATACCCTTTTCCATCTCTTGATGGTATATCTTTTCCACTTGTCACCTGCCTTTGTTTGCAGAAAACCCTGGTATCTCACCCCAAACCACTAGCACCCCACTCAAGCCTGCCAAATCCTGCTGCTGCTCTTTTTCCTACTCTGCTAAGAGGAAAGTGAAGACATGAATGGAGTTAAGTCATTCTCCTCCAAAGAAACTCTGTCATCCAAATGTTCCCTAATTTGTGGAAAGTATGGGAGAGATAATTTTGAGCCTGAGGAGTTGGTACTTCCTTTACTTAAAGCCTCCCCTTTCCTTTGCTTAGCATAATAACACAAGAAGGATTGGGCATAAATTAAAGTTTCTCAATCCTTCCTTCAAATTTTAGTAAATATAGGAAAGTAGGAACAAGAAAGAACAACTTTCTTGTCCTCCCTGATAGAATATAGCAGCATTTGCTGGAAAACAAGCGTCTTGAGATACTGCATGTGAAAAGCATGCATGACAAATATGTTTGGAAAATGTTGTGCACGGTACCCTGCCTCTGCCCCTTTTCATACCGAGTCACCACACTTAATCACATACATATTACAGGACAGGGAGATTCTAGATTAAAGAACTTGTTTCACTTCATTTAAACTAGAGTTTCCCAACCACCTAACACTCTCTCATGGAACATATTTCAGAAAATGCTGGAGTAAAAAATTTCACACTAGATAATAACAGCCCAGGTTTCACGTGAAAGGAGCATCCTGGGCTGAGGTTTAAATTTTGACCTCAAGTAGGTGGAAGGTCAAGAGATCCTCTTTAGAGCTTAGACTCAGAACACGAATTTATGGTGAATTCTAAATGATCCCAGGGAAAGGAGACACATTCCCAAACTAGGGACCACAAGCACAAATGCCTGCAGAGGCCCAGGCACAAAGCAAGTATGGACATACATGCACATGCATACATCCTGTGATTGGTGGGGACTGCAGCAAATTGAAGAAGTCATGCCAATGCCCAGTGCCTTGCTGCCAGATCTTTTGGTTTATAAAGGGAAGTTGGGAATCAGGTTTTTTATCTGAAATCTCTGGATTCTTCAATGTTGGCATGTATCTATATCTATGTTTATATTCATATCGTTTTTCTTTTCTTATGTGCCAACAGTTTGCAATTTTTGCATTAAATTTTATTTCTCTGCCAGGTGCAGCGGCTCATGCCTATAATCCTAGCACTTTGGAAGGCTGAGGGAGGGGGATCACCTGAGGTCAGGAGTTTGAGACCAACCTGGCCAACATGGTGAAGCCCCATCTCTACCAAAAATACAAAAAATTAGCCAGGTGTGGTGGCAGGCACCTGTAATCCCGGCTACTCAGGAGGCAGGAGAATTGCTTGAACCCAGGAGGCAGAGGTTGCAGAGAGCCGAGGTTGTGCCATTGCACTCTAGCCTGAGCAACAAGAACAAAACTCCATCTCAAAAAAATATATATTTCTCATGCTCGTTTACTTTTAACAAACACCAACTTGTGAAGAATGTCAACAATGAGGACTATTTCCAATTACTGAACATTTAAATATACTTAAAAATAATGCAAACACAGTAATTAGAAATATATGTATTAGCAGCTATATGTGGACAGCTAATATTAATAAAGAACTCAGTTTTTCCAACATGTCTTTTTGTGAAATTTTCAGAAGCCATCAAAATTATCACTTTTAAAAAGGTGTAGCAAAGGACATGGGGCAGTAGCAAAGGACATGGGGCAAGGATCTGGGGACCCTAAAGGCCAATTCCAACCTGGTCAGTCTGCATGTATGACCAGGGCCAGAAGGAACTGAGGAAGGAGACCCCCTTCCCTCGGCTTGTGCTTAGGGGAAAAGGAGGAAATGAAAGTTAAAAGCCAACCAGATAAGGTCGGTGGAGGAACCAGCTCAGCACAGCCGACCAGGTCTGGAAGTTAAAAATTAACCCCCCCACTCCTGACCACAATCCTATCTTTAGGTCACAGGCATGGTATGGAGGAACCTTATTCCGGAAGGCATTGATCTTACTCAGCCACTCAAGACCCCTATCCGGTCACGTCCCCCATGCTTACTAAATCAATCATGACCCTCTCACATGTACATGTCTTAGATCTCTGAGACTGTGAACCTTTAAAACGGCCAGGATTTTCTTTGTTGGGGAGCTTGGTTGTTGAGGCATCTATGCCTGCCACAGCTTCCGGCTGAATAAAATTGCCACTTTCTTTCCTGTCCGATGTTCAAGAGGTTTGTTTGTGGCTGCTCCTGCTTCATTTTGGTTCCCTGACTGGGAAGCAAGTTTCGGTTGGCGGATGGCTGGGACAGCCTCCCAAGTGGTTTCGACTTGCCCTGCGGAGCGTCCCTGCTGGGGACTCCAGCCCGCTCGGGCAACGAGAGTCCTGAGAGTGCTCCCGGGTAGGCATTGGCTCTGGTGGAAAGCCTTGCCAAAGCAAAGTAGCGTAGGCCCTTGCAGCGGATCCACCCAGTGGCTGAACACCAAGAAGGAATAGGTGCCTGAAGTGCCCAGACTTCAGAAACACGGTAGGACTTTGTCGTGGGAAATTTGCCCACCCCACTGGGTGGAAGCCTGGCCTGATGACCCACAACATGCCAATCTGTTTTGGCACTTTAAGTTTGATTTTTGTTTCTTTATAACTGGTCTCAGTAATCTTGTGTTCTCAGAATTTGGGTGGTGAGAGGTGTGTGAGTGTGTGCGAGTGTGGAGGGGCCCAGCTAGGCTCATTAGCTGCAAAGTGTGGGGGCTGCAGTTCTGTTAGAGTGGGCTGTATGTCCCTAGTGATTTGTGGGGCTGGCTGGGACCAGCGACAATCTGCATAAGGCTGAAGGAAGTGCCCTCACAATCTAGGTATTGTGGGAGGTGTAATGACCTCTCCAATGCCAAGCAGTGTCTGAAACACTCCCACGAGGGGGATGGTCCTACCCGTCTGAAGCAAAAGTGAAGAGTGAGAGTGTTGCGCCAAAATGGGCGGGAATCTGAGGGTGGAATGCAGAGTCCCAAGTAGTAATTTCGGGCAAAGTCAGTGAGAAACCTTTCAACCTTTTGGTAGTGCTATTCTTTTTGTTTGTTTGTTTGTTGTTTTCTTTTTCTTTTTTTTTTTTTGAGACGGAGTTTTGCTCTTGTTTTCCAGGCTGGAGTGCAATGGCGCGATCTCCGCTCACCACAACCTCTGCCTCCTAGGTTCAGGCAATTCTCCTGCCTTAGCCTCCTGAGTAGCTGGGATTACAGGCACACGCCACCATGCCCAGCTAATTTTTTGTATTTTTTTTTAGTAGAGACGGGGTTTTATCATGTTGACCAGGATGGTCTCGATCTCTTGACCTCGTGATCCACCCACCTCGGCCTCCCAAAGTTCTGGGATTACAGGCATGAGTCAGCACGCCCGGCCTCTTAAGGAGATGGGTAAAACACAGAGCAAACCTACTCCATTGGGAATGATGCTAAAAAATTTCAAAAAGGGATTTAATGGAGATTACAGTACCACCATGGCACCAGTAAGACTTAGAACTTTGTGTGAAGTGGCCTGGCCAGCAATGAAGACGGATTGGCCCTTGGAAGGGAGCCTGGATAAGTCTCTTGTCTCCAAAGTGTGGTGCAAGGTTATAGGCAAGCCAAGACATCCCAACCAATTCCCACATGTAGACTCTTGGTTACAGTTGGTTTTAAACTCTGGACAGTGGTTATGGAGCCAGGCAGCTGCAGTTCTAGTGGCCCAGAGACAGACAGGGAAAAATCTTGCTCCACCCACCAGAGGACACAGATTCTTAAGGTCTTCGCCAACTCAGCACCAGAAGACTCTTTGCCAGTAGCACCCCCTCCTTGCTTGGAGGAGAAGTCCCCCACTCCAGAACCAGAGGCTTCTGCACCTCCACAAGATCCGAACACTTCTAAACCACCCAGAGTGGAAGGAAAAGGAGGCATGGCTTTAGGAGGCACTCCTCCCATAGCAGCCGGATTCCCAGAAAAATCACCCCCATTGACAGCCCAGTTATGAGCCAATGTGGGAGTGGAAATGCCTCTAAGAGAACAGCAGTACACTGGGGTAGATGAGGATGACCACATGATAGAAAGGCGTGTCTTCACGCATATACCATTCACTTTGGCCAACCTCATAAACTGGAAAAATAGCAACCCATCTTACACTGACAAGCCACAAGCTTTAATTGACCTGTTTCAGACTGTCATCCAAACTCATAAGCCCACTTAGGCTGATTGTCACCAGCTGCTCATGTACCTTTTCAACACTAATGAGAGGCAGAGAGTGCTCCAGGCAGCATCTAAATGGCTGGAAGAGCATGTTTCAGCTGATTAACACAACCCTCAGGAGTATGTGAGGACCCAGTTGCCAGGAAGGGACCCTCAGTGGGACCCAAATATCCCTGAGGGCATGCAGAGGCTAACTTGATACAAAGAGGCCTTGCTGGAGGGAGTAAGAAAAGGAGCACAAAGAGCTGAAAATATATACAAAGTATCTCAACTTAAGCAGGGGCAAGATGAAAGTCCAGCACAGTTTTATGAAAGACTGTGTGAGGCCTTCCGCATGTACATTCCCTTTGATCCCGAGGACCCGGAGAATCAGGAGAATCAGCGCATGGTGAACTTAACTTTAGTTAGTCAGAGCGCACATGATATCAGGAAAAAGTTACAAAAACAGAATGGGTTCACGGCCATGAGCACTGCACAGTTGTTAGAAATAGCCCATCAGGTGTTTGTGAATACGGATGCAGCAGGCCACCAAGAGAAGGTGCGACAAAACCGGCAAAATATCAATTTGCTGGCCACAGCTATCAGAGGAACACATTCAAAGGGGCAGGGCAAGGGGGGCCCTGGGAAAAACAACAGTCAGATCGACCATGTCTACAGCACAACCAGTGTGCCTATTGTAAAGAAATGGGACACCGGAAAAATAAGTGTCCTCAGTTGGCAGGGGAACAGGGTATTCCTAAGCAAGAAGCCTCAGGAAAAGATGAGGTTACCCTGTTTAACTTGGTGGGGGGGCCATTAAACTGAAGGAGACCAGGCTCGAATGGCCCCAAAGACCCCATGGTCAGGATGAAGTGGAGGGCAAGGACATTAATTTCTTGGTCAGCACTGGGGCGGAACACTTGGTGGTAATGCAACTCGTGGCAACTTTGTCCAGCAAGACAATAAACATAATTGGGGCAAGTGGAGTTTCAGAAAAGCAGGCTTTCTGCCTACCATGAAGCTGTTTGGTGGGGGGCCATGAAATTATACATCAGTTCTTATACATGCCGGACTGTCCCCTACCCCTTTGGGGAAGAGGCTTGCTAAGCAAACTAAGAGCTACCATTACCTTCACTGATAAGGGCTCCCTGCAGCTAAAACTGCCTCAGACAGGGATTATCATGGCCCTCACAGTCTTTTGGGAGGAGGAGTGGAGACTCTTCCTGACTGAACCAGGATGAGAATTAATCTTTGCTCTAGCCAAGAGATGGCCACGGGTCTGGGCAGAGGACAACCCCCCAGAGTTGGCAGTAAATAAAGCCCTAGTGGTTATAGAAGTAAAGCCAGGGGCATTACCCATCAGACAGAGATAATACCTGGTCCCAAGGGAAGCTCTCGAAGGCATCCAAGTTCATCTCAGGTGCTTAAAAATTTATGGTATTATAGTTCCTCGCCAGTCTCCCCAGAACATGCCTCACCTGCCTGTCCCCAAGCTGGGAACTAAGGACTACAGACCAGTGCAGGACCTGCGCATGGTCAATCAAGCAACTGTGACCCTGCACCCCATGGTGCCTAACCCATACATGTTGCTGGGGTTATTGCTATTTGAGGACAGCTGGTTCACTTGTTAGGACTTAAATGACATTTTCTTCAGTATCAGGCTAGCTCCTGAAAGTCAAAAGCGATTTGCATTTCAGTGGGAAAATCCAGAAACAGGAGTCACTACCCAGCATACCTGGACCTGGCTTCCCCAGGGGTTCAAAAATTCCCCCACCATCTTTGGGGAGGCACTAGCTTGGGATCTCCAGAAGTTTCCTTCTGAAAGCCTAGGCTGTGTGCTTCTCCACTATGTTAATGATCTTTTATTAAGATATTCCATGGCAGTTGGGTGCACTAAGGGAACAGATGCCTTACTTCAGCACCTGGATTGTGGGTATAAAGTGTCCAAGAAAAAGGCTCAGATCTGCAGGCAGCAAGTGCAGTTTCTGGGATTCACCATTTGACAAGGGGAGCACAGCCTAGGGGCAGAAAGGAAACAGGTCATCTGCAACCTGCTGGAACCGAAAACCAGAAGGCAGGTAAAGAATTCTTGGGAGCCATGGGCTTCTGTAGACTGTGGGTTCCAAACTTTGCAGTGCTGGCCAAACCCCTGTATGAAGTCACAAAGAGGAAAACAAGGAACCCCTTGAATGGGGACCCCAGCAGCAATAGGCTTTCCATACCCTGAAGGAAAAACTTGTGTCTACTCTGGTACTGGGATTACCTGACCTGACAAAGCCCTTTACATTACATGTATCAGAAAAAGAAAAAATGGCTCTTGGAGTACTAACCCAAACCGTGGGATCTTGGCCAAGGCCAGTGGCCTACCTCTCTAAACAGCTGGATGGAGTTTCAAATGGCTGGCCTCCATGCCCAGGGGCCCTAGCATCAACTGCCTTGTTAGCCCAAGAAGTGGATAAGCTAACTCTGGGACAGAATCTGAACACAAAGGCTCCTCATGCAATGGTGACTCTAATGAATACCAAGGGACATCACTGGCTGACAAACGCCAGGCTAAGTACCAGAGCTTGCTTTGTGAAAACCCCCACATCACCATTGAAGTCTATAACACCTTAAATCCTGCTACCTTGCTCCCAGCATCAGAGAGCCCAGTGAAACATGATTGTATTGAAGTCTTGGACTCAGTCTATTCTAGCAGGCCTGATCTCTGAAACCAGCCTTGGGCAACTGCTGATTAACTCCCTTGGAGAGAGGTGTGTGGGGTATACAGTAGTAACCTTGGATATTGTTGTTGAAGCTAAATCATTGCCACAAGGAACCTCAGCCCAGAAAGCTGAACTTATTGCCTTGACGCGGGCCTTGGAGCTGAGTGAAGGTAAGACTGTGAACATTTATACTGACTGTCAGTATGCCTTTCTGACTCTCCAGATACGTGGGGCATTATACAAGGAAAAAGGACTCTTAAACTCAGGGAGAAAACAGATAAAGTATTGGCGAGAAATTTTACAGCTATTAGAGAAAGTTTGGAAGCCCCAATAGGTGGCAGTTATGCATTGTGGGGAGTATCAATGGGCCTCCACCTCTGTAGCCCTGGGAAACTCCCAGGCTGACTCAGAAGCTTGAAAAGCAGCATCCATTCCCTACTGAGCTACAGTAACAGCCCTCCTGATCCCCCAAATGCCTGATTTTGTGCCTACCTATTCTAAGGAGGAAAGGGACTTTTTTCAAAATGAAGGGGGACAGGCAATAAAGGGTGGATCCAGTTACCAGATGGAAAAATAGCAGTGCCATAGCTGTTGACTGCTGGTGTTGTGCAAGCCATACATGGACTACACATCTGGGCCAAGAAGCTCTTGAAAAGTTAATAGGCTGGTACTTCTACATTTCACATTTGTCAGCTCTAGCAAAGGCAGTGTCACAGCAATGTGTCACCTGCTGACAACACAATGCAAAGCAGGGTCCAACAATCCTACCTGGCATACAGTCTTACTGAGCAGCTCCCTTTGAAAATCTCCAGGTGGACTTCACTGAAATGCCCAAGTGTGGAAGTTGTATCTGCTATTTCTGGTATGTACAGACTCTGGGTGGGTAGAAGCATTCCCAACTCAAACCGAGAAAGCTTATGAAGTAACCCATGTGCTTCTTTGAGATCTCATTCCTAGGTTTGGACTGTCCTTGTGAATCAGCGTAGACAGTGGGCCAGCTTTCATGGCTGACTTGGTTCACAGACAGCAACGTGTGGGAATCACTTGGAAACTTCATGCCGCCTGTAGATCACAGAGTTCCAGAAAGGTGGAGCAAATCAGACAATCAAAAATGGTTTAGGGAAAGTATGCCAGGAGACAGGTTTACAGTGGGTACATGCACTTCCCATGGTGTTGTTTAAAATTAAATGCACCCCTTCGAAAAAGGGTACTCACCTTATGAGATACTTTACCACAGACCCCCTCATAAACTATGGGAGCTCCTAGGAACTCCTCAAGGGTTAGGTGAAATTGAATTGCAGAGACAGCTACAGGCCTTGGGAGAAGTTACCCAAACCATCTCAGCCTGGGTAAATGAAAGGTGCCCAGTGAGCTTATTCTGCCTAGTTCACCCTTTTTCACTAGGCGATCAAGTGTGGATAAAGGATTGGAATATCACCCCTTTGAAGCCCCAGTGGAAAGGGCCCCTGACTATAATCCTGACCACTCACACAGCTGTGAAGTTGGAAGGAATAGCAGCTTGGATTCATCACAGCCGAGTAAAACCTGCAGCGGCTGAAACTTGGGAGGTGCAACCAGACCCAGACGACAGCTGCAAAATCACCTTGAGAAAGACAACAAGCCTTGCCCCAGCCACATCCTGGAAGCTGGCTGGTCCATGCACGGCCAAAGCATGAGAAAACTCATTGTGGGGCTCATTCTCCTTGAAATTGGGACTCATGTAGTAAGAACTTTACCTAACTTTGGAGATTGTTCTCAGTGTATACATAAGGTCACTAAGGTAGGATGAAAAATCACTACTGTCCTTTTGTTCTACAGCTACTATGAATGTACAGGAACTCAGAAGGGAACTTGTTTGTATAATGGCACCCAATACAAGTGTGCAGCCCAGGGGATGGGCAACCAGATGCCTGCTATGACCCATCAGAGTCCCCCATACACACAATTTTTGAAGTAAAACACTTAACAACTGTGGCATGGAAAACTTCAAGTAAGTTAATTGCTAGAACAGAGGAGAAAGGAATCCCCAAGCAAGTTGTCATAAAATTTGATGCTTGTGGGGCTATGGATAAGGGGTGTGGCTCTCTTGGTTGGGAGCAGAGTTATGTGGGAGAGCATAAGTATATGTGCCAGACAACGTATTGGCGTAGTGAATGTACTTACTGGTCATGTGTTATCTGGGCCACTTAGAAAAATGATAAAAATGACCCCGTCTGTCTGACAAAGGGAAAAAGTAATATTCCCTGGAGTAATGTTCTTTGTACCCCTGGGTATTACAATCCATTAGAGACAATAATTACAAATCCACAGGATCCCCACTGGAAAAGTGGAGAATATGTAAAGCTAGGAATTGATGGGAAAGGACAGGATCCCATGGTAAATATCTTAATTCAAGGGGAGGACCAAAGACATACCTCCAGTCCAGTGCTGGTGTATCAGACTTTTAATGATGAGTTAAACAAGCCAGCCCCAGAACTCACAAACAAGATGAAAAACTTGTTCCTCCAGGTAGCTGAAAATGTAGCCCACTCACTTAATGTTACTTCCTGTTATATGCGTAGGAGAACTACAATGGAAGACTGGTGGCCATGGGAAGCACAAGAATTAGTGCCCTTTGATCCTGTCCCGGACCTAACCTTTGTCCAAAGAATTCAAACCAGCAGCTTCTGGGTCTTAAAAGTCTCGATTATTGGACGATATTGCCTAACAAGAGAGGGAAAAAACTTCACCATCCTGGTAGGGAGGCTTAGTTGCCTGAGACAGCAATTGTATAATGAAACAGCAGATACAGTCACTTGGTGGAGTTCAAACCACACAGAAAAGAACCCGCTCCTTAAATTCCCTAAATTGCAGGACACCTGGAATCATCCTGGGCTTCACTGAGACTGGACAGCCCCAGCTGGGTTATATTGGATATGTGGGCACAGAGCGTACGTGCAGCTGCCTGAAAAATGGACTGGCAGCTGTGTCATAGGCACTATTAAACCTTCTTTCTTCCTATTGCCCGTCAAGACAGGTGAATTGTTAGGCTACCCCGTTTTTCCATCTCCCCGGGACCCAAGAAGACTGTCTATAGGAGATTGGAAAGATGATGAATGGCCCCCTGAAAGGATCATACAATATTATGGGCCTGCTACACGGACACAGGACAGCTCATCGGGATATCAGACCCCAACTTATACGATCAACCGCATTATCTGGTTACAAGCTGTCTTAGAAATAATCAACAATGAAACTAGTAAAGCTTTAACTCTTGGCCTGGCAAGAAACTCACATAAGAAATGATATTTACCAAAATAAATTAGCACTAGACTACTTGCTAGCAGCCGAGGGAGGAGTCTGTGGAAAATTCAGTGTAACCAGTTGTTGCCTGTGTACAGATAATCAAGGCCAGGCAGTTGAGTATACTGTAAGAGATATGACAAAAGTGGCCTATATGCCAGTGGAAGTTTGGCATGGGTTTGACCCTGCATCTATGTGTAGGAGATGGTTCCCAGCTTTAGGAGGATTTAAAGCCCTCATTATAGGTGTGGTGCTGGTAATACGTGCATGCTTGTTGCTCCCCTGTTTATTGCCTGTATTTCTCCAATGATTAGAGGTTTAGTCACTGCTATAGTTCACCAAAAGGCCTCAGCTCAAGCAGATTATATGAATCATTATCAATCAGTATCATTACATGACCAGGATAGTGAGGAAGAGGGTGAGAATCCCAACTAATAAATAAGTGAAGTTCTCAAAGTGGGGAACTGAGGAAAGAGACCCCCTTCCTTTGGCTTTGCTTAGGGGAAAAGGAGGAAATGAAAGTTAAAAGCCAGCCAGATGAGGTCAGTAGAGGAACCAGCTCAGCACAGCTGACCAGGTCTGGAAGTTAAAAATTAACCCCCCTACTCCTGACTACAATCCTATCTATAGGTCACAGGCATGGTATGGAGGAACCTTATCCTGGAAGGCATCGACCTTACTCAGCTACTCAAGACCCCTATCCGGTCACGTCCCCAAGACTTGCTAAATCAATCATGACCTTCTCAATGTGCATCTCTTAGAGCTCTTAGATTGTGAGCCTTTAAAAGGGCCAGGATTTTCTTCGTTGGGGAGCTCAGTTGTTGAGGCTTCTATGCCTGCCACAGCTCCCAGCCAAATAAAATTACCACTTCCTTCCCTGTCTGATGTTTAAGAGGTTTGTTTGCAGCTGCTCCTGCTTCAGAACCACCAGCAGACTCCCAGACATGCCTTCCCTCCTACACTCACTGTACTGCTCTGTGTGCTATTATCCATGTCTGGAATGTTCTTCCTTTTTCTTCACTTGGTTAACTTATTCTGATTTTTTTCAGATTTATCTGGACACATTTGACAAACTCCTTCCTTCTTTTAGCTAGGATCAGGAGCCCCCCTCTGTGCTTCCACGTACCTATCAAGACTCTTATGTTTCACTATCTGCTTAAATGATAGTCTCCCTGTAATACGCTGATTCTTTGTATTTTATTTTTGAATCCTCAGTGCCCAGGATATAGCAAGCACCCCTGCTTAGGATATAGCAGACACTCAATATATGTTTAAGTAGTGAAGAGATACATTTATAAAATAAGAGTGGAACAGATGATTTCAATGGTCTCTGCCAATTGTGAAATACTACACACAGTTCTTCATTTACCTCTACTGGCCTCCCAAGGAAATTCTTGTCTGTCATCTTATAATGGTGTAAGGCACCTTTGTGCTTGTAAGTGACATCGATGTCCATATTCAAGTGGAGTTGTTTAACCAGGAGTGAATATTCTGTCAGGCCCTCGATGGCATTGATGGTGTCCTGTCAACAATCAGCAAGGCACAAAAATATGTTTGTTTATTTACTGCCTATTTACAAATGCCCTTTTTATGAGCGGGTAGGGCAGCATTGTCTGGAGTTGAAACTCCAGCTGACTCAGTAAGACTGGTTTAGGGCCCCATTGTGGAGGTGGAAGGAAGGTCTCTCCCTCCTCAACAGAGACATTGCTGTTAGCAGGGACAGGAAGGAAGTGTGGCCTCATATCTGGGTCTTCTATATAGACTACAAATGTAATCTCAGGCAAGTCACTGTTTGCAGAATTCCTCTGAGTCTTTGCAGGATTATCTCTTCCTCATTCTTTAGTGTCAGCATAAGTTATCTCCACAATAAGGCCATAAACTCCCCTTTCCCATTATTCTCTGTTTTAATGTTCCTCTTTTGCCCTTTATAGCATTCATCTCAATTTGTAATACTTTTATTTATAGTTTATTGCTGGCTTCCCCCACTGCAATGTAAGATTCATGAGGCAAGTAGGTAATATATTTTTCTTGGTGCTTGACATGGTTTGAATGTGTCTCCCAGAGTTCATGTGTTGGCAGCTTGGTCCCCAGTGTGGCAGTGTTAGGAGGTGAGGCCTAATGGGAGGTGTTTGGGTCATGAGGGTACTATTTTCATGAATGGATTAATGCTGCTTATTATAGAAGTGAGCCTGTTATAAAAGGATGAGTTTATACCCCACTCACACCAACCCCCTACTCCGCCTTCTCTTTGCTCTTCTACCATGGAATAATGCAACAAAAATGCCTTCACCAGGTGCAGCCCCCTGATCTTGGACTTCCTAGGACCCAGAATTATGAGCTAATAAATTTCTGTTCATTATAAATTATCCAATGTGTCATATTCTGTTACAGCAACATGCAATGGACTAAGGCACTGTCCATTGCATTTAGTGGGTACATAAATATTTGTTGAAGGAGTAAACTTTATCTTTCTGGGCCTCATCTTTCTCATCTATAAAACTGAGAAACATGACTAGATCAGAGATGTTAAACAATGTGGCCACTCCCTCTGCCTGTATCTATAGCAGTGAATGCTTATCAATAGCACACTCTTTTCTGCTAACCCTATATTTGTACCTAAAATCAAACATATTAGATGGTCACTAAATTAATACTAAAGGCCCTCTCTACTGCTAAACTTTAGATATAGATATACACACTCCATCATTATCTAAACATCCAGGCAACAGGGAAGATATTAACATTCAAGTTAAACTTTGAATATAAGTATATATGATACAACTACATAATAATTAGTTGTAATACAAAATACGTACTTGAGTGAGTTTATATTAAATAGCTAGATAGAGTAACATATAATAATCAGTATTTCTTTCACTTTTTATTTATTTCTTTGTGGAGAAGAAGCATCCGTACTTTTGTCTACATGACAGACACTATTTATTATATAGGATATGACATACTTGCCAACAACCTTACTAGCATTTTATGGTGATTTAGAATCATGAAGGAAGTAGTGGGCTTGAGGTCAGGAGACATAAGTTCTGATTCCGGCTCTGCCATGAATACTCTAAATGAAACTCCCTGGGCTCATTTCCTCTTTTGTATAATAAGAGTGTTGATGCAGATAACCTCTAGGGGTCCTTCAGTTCTGGACATTATTCATATCTATTGCATAGTCATTTGGTGGCCAAAGGCATGGAGGCCAGAATGAGTGTGGCATGGGAGAAAATAAAAATGTCTACGGGTAGATGAAACAAGACAAAGAAATGTTACCTGGGTTGAATAAAAGCCGCCTCCATATCTCTGCTGTTCAGATAGCCATTTGATGATTGGGTTAACATAATTTATATCTTTCAAGTTCAGACTGGTGAGTAAGGCATAGGCAGTTGTTTCTACCATACGTGCCGTACCAGTGTTAGGTACAGAGTTGTCTTTATGTTGAAGTTTGTCTTTCCAAAAACGATAAATGGGTGGATTACCTGAATATCAACAAGTCACATTCATTAATATGATTAAAAATGTAAATTTGATGTAACAATTCTATCAGGTGTATTATAGTGTTCTCGTTTCTAGAAGCTACTTACTTTTTTTTGTTAGAGGAACTTCCTGAAGATGACCAATGCAAAACAAGATCCCTTAATATGGTTCTACTTGTCTTTACATATTGAGCACCTATAATCTGAAAATCTGAAATCTGAAATGCCCCCAACATCTGAAAACTTTTGAACTCTGACATGATGCTACAGGTGGGTAATTTCATCCTGACCTCATGCGACAGGTCACAGTCAAACTGCAGTCAAAACTTTGTTTCATCCACAAAATTACTGAAAATACTGTATAAAATTACTTTCAAACTATGTGTAAAGGAAGGTATATATGAAACATGAATGAATTTCATATATGAAATATCATTATGTATACGTTTATATTCCAAAATCTGAAAAAAACCTGAAATCTGAAATACTTCTGGTCCCAAGCAGATCAGACAAGGAACACTCAACCTGTTTTTTTATTTTTGTGTATGTTTTGAGACAGGATCTTGTTGTCACCCAGGCTGGAGTGCAGTGGTGTGACTGTACCTCACTGCAGCCTCAATCTCTTGGGCTCCACCTCAGCTTCCTGAGTGACTGGGACTATAGGGGTGTGCCACCATGCCTGGTTATGTTGCCCAGGCTGGTCTCAAACTCCTGGGCTCAAGCAATCCTCCTACCCTGGCCTCCCAAGGTACTGGGATTATAAGCACAAACCACTGCATCCGGCCTCAATCTTTATTTTAAAATCACACAGTACACATGTACTAGTAAGGGGAAATTTAGTAGAGTGGAAAGTGCAATTAACTGGGAATTAGTAGACCCAGCTTTTGGTCTTTCTTCTGTTACTAACTTACCATGGTCACTTGGGGCAAATTCCTTTAATTCTGTGTGACTTCGTTTCCTAATACCTGTATTATAGATAATACTTTCTTCCATGTAGTGAAACTCAAATGAAATACTAAATATAAAAGATTTTGTAAACTAGAAAGCACCATGCATATATAAAGGATTTTTGTTACTATTACTACTGACAGTAAAAAATAAATTGGAGAACTTTTCCTGATAGGAAAATTTACATCCTGGAAATTACGAGATTACACCTAAAGCCTTAGTTCAGTCTTTTATTATTTTTTTCCAATTGAAAGCACTCAAGACAGTTTCATACATGTAGCACTTTTCATAAATTAGGCTGTAAATTATATTTGTTATTTAAACCTGTAAACCCCAAATCTTTTTGGGAATGAACTTAAAAAAAACAGTAATGTATATTTGGAAATCATTTTTGAAAGTCAAAATTTTGATGGATATATTTATAATTCATAATTACATTATTTGCATGACCTTGAAAAAGATATTGACCCTTCCTCTCAGAGTCTCAGATTTGCTGTATTTTTATTTTCTTTGAGACAAAGTCTCACCCTGTCACCCAGGCTAGAGTGCAATGGCACGATCTTGGCTCACTGCAACCTCTGCCTCCTGGATTCAAGCGATTCTTCCACCCTAGCCTCTCAAGTAGTTGAGATTACAGGCATCCGCCATCATTCCTAGCTAACTTTTGTCTTTTTGTAGAGATAGGGTTTCACCATGTTGGCCAGGCTGGTCTTGAACTCCTGACCTCAGGTCATCTGCCCACCTTGGCCTCTCAAAGTGCTGGGATTACAGGTGTGAGCCACCACGCCTGGCAGATTTGTTGTATTTAAAATGAAGAGTTGACTGTAGGTTTTTAAAGAAACCCAGCTAGAAAAATTTTTGGATTATTAAGTTCCCTTCTAGCTCTTAAATTCTATAATTTTATGATCCATATCTCACAATACCCAAGACATTTCTTTTGTATTATTTTTTGAAGTATCATACAAGTGATTTTGAGGCATATATTAAAATACAGTCATTTTAAAATGACACAAATCATAATTTGTAGATAATCATAAACCTCAGTAAGATTTATAAAACTTTTAGAAAATCTTAGCTAGGAGAGGACTCTAAAGTGCCAAATCATGCCAATAATCACTGCTACTCTCTTTCCATTTTTTTTCTCTTGACCTATAGGAAGCTGTATCTTTAGTCTTCAAAACCAAACACATACTTTTATAGCAAACCTGGTAAAATATAAGTCACGTCATGCACTCCTTTGCTCAAAATCCCCGAATGGCTCCCCTTCTCACTCTCAAAGCTGAAATTAAAGTTCTAGGGCTCCTTCTGGTCCCTACAGCACGTTGCTGTGGATGAGTCATGGGAACTCCTCGCTCTGCGTGGAAGCAGCCCTAAACTAGGGCACGTGGCCAGGAGAGTGGAGCACAGGCTGGATTTCAGCCTCGATTCACTTGCTTCCTTAGGTGCTTTGTCCACTGCACAACTGTTTACGGAAGCCCTGAAGTCTCTCTAATGCTTTAGATGACCTTCCCTTGCTTCTTCACCTTTGCCTTCCCTAACCTCACTTCCTACTCCTCTTCTCACTCATCAGCAGTCACACTGGCCTCCATGGCATTCTTGGAGCACCAGGCATGCCCATGCCTCAGGGCATTTACACATTGTGTTCTCCACCAGGAACACCCTTCTAGATAGCCACAGGACTTGCTTCTTCACCTCCTTTCAGGTCTTGATGCAAACACCATCTTCTCAGTGAAACTTAAGCCCAGTCAGCTTGTCTAAAATTACAACCCATCCTCTCACCTTATCTTCTTTCCCTGCTTTATTTTTCTTCATATCAGGCATCACTGCCTATTCACAAAGCTTTACTTATTTATCATGTTTGTGTCTCCCCAGTTAGAATATAAGTTTCCTGATGACCTGGATTTTTGGGAGTCTGTTTTGTTTATTGCTTTATTCCCAGAGATGAGAATAGTGCCAGGTATATAGGAGGTATCCGGAGGATACTCGATGCATATTTATCAAATAAAGGAATAAATAGAGGACAGGCATGGTGGCTCAGGCCTGTGATCCCAGTACTTTGGAAGGCCAAGGCAGTAGGATTGCTTGACCCCAGACATTTGAGACCATCCTGGGAAACTCGTGAGACTCGTATGTGCAAAATATAAAAAGAACTGGGTTCTGTGGTGGACACCTATAGTCCCAGCTACTTGGGAGGCTGAGGTGGGAAGATCACTTGAGCCGGGAGATGGAGGTTGCAGTGAGTCATGATCATGCCACTGCACTCCAGCCTGGGTGACAGATAGAGAACCTGTCTTAAAAAAAAAGAATAAATATTTTCTGAATGAATACATGAATAAATGAATGAATAACAGCACACATTACTTTGTATTGTGATGGTTTGTTCCTTGAGGACAGAGATTGCACCTTACTCAAGTTTGCGTGTCACCACCCACTTCCCAGATTTAGCAGACTTTATGGCTTAGTGAACGCTCGTTGAATAAATATATGGAACAAGTTATACCTTTAACAAAAGCTTCTCTCTTCAAAGTTGAAACAATTGAACGAAACTGTGGGTGAGTTTTATCTCCCAGGGAAAGAGCGTAGGCAGCAATGGCCAATGTAAAGGTGCTCTGGGCTGGCAGTGTATTTTCAAGCAGAAAGGTGTCAGCTTTAATTAGAGCTGTGTTGATTTTCTGGAAACAAGAGCAAAAGATACTTCAGTTTCTATGCCAAGCAACCACCTATCAATTGATACGAACTACCATCAGGTCCGACTGTCCTGGAGTAGGCAAGATTGGGGGTAAAAAGAGGACTGACCTAATGGGAATGGATGGCTTCTCAGTGAAGCAAACCCCTCCAAGACAAGGAGCAGAACATAATCTTGGAAGAGACGATGAAATCCAAATCAGGTTAAGCTTTTTGTCTCTGAATTCTCACCTTCCTTTTAGAGGTTTTGTGCCTTCAGTTTCTGATTATACCACCAGACCTAGCCTCCAGGAAGAAAAGGTACCGAGTATAGACACAACTTTTATTGTGCCCTCTCCATAGTTACAACAGGCACACATGTTCAAAAGGAGGTACACTTTTAAAAATCAAAACAATAAGAAGCAGAAGGAAAGCCAAGCTGCCGAAGTACTTTTAGATCCTAAGAATGCCTGGTTAAATAGTCCCTATCACTAGTTCCGACACCACCAAAACGGTTTTGTTGGACAAGTGATCCAGGAGAAAGCCTGCTGCAATGCTGCTAACATCCTGCCTGGCTCCTTCTCTTCCCAGCTCCACATGCATCTCTCACCCTTGTGGCCACTAGGTGCCAACTGGTCCTCTAGGCTCCTGAGAACTGGTCATCATTGATTATTTTGTCTTGTTAGGCATTTGAAACAAATGGAAAACAAATGGTTTTGTTTTGTGATTCCAGTTCTGCAGATCTCCTTGAGATTTTCCATGTCAACCCTGATTTGAAGGACACATCTAATTGACTTCTGATTTGCAGGCAGGAGTATTTAACCTCAGCTCAGGAATCATCTCTTCCCAGACGAGGGTATCACCTCAGTTAACCTTGGAAATCTATGTTGATTCACTTACATGGATCATCACTTTTCTCCCCGTTTCCAAGCAAGTGAAACAGTACAATCAAAGAAGCACACTTGCTGTTGTGTATCCTCAGTACTTGCATGATAGAGTGCTTTCACTATAGGATAACAGTGACATATATAGAGCAGGATTTAGGGGAGATAAGAGAGAGAAGCAGGGGGCACTGGATCATTCTCCCATCACAGTCCCAGCTGTCAGTTTTAGACCCAGCTCTACAATTTATTAGCCTGTGACATCGTACAATTGAATTCCCTTTACTTATAGTCCTCAGCTTTCTCAACTGTCGATGAGTAGGTTGGACTAGGTGGTCTCTAATTCTATTATAGTTCTGAAATCTTTCAATTCTGGAGTTTAAGTTATTGGCAAGTAATTGAAAAGAGGGGAAAAGAAGCTTTTGAAACTAAAGGTCTTCTGATTGGTGGCCCCTCCAGTATATAGCATAGAAAGAGATGATGGGTGTTAGAGAAAGAAATCTCTTACTTACCTCCAGGGGGCATA